TATTGGACCCTCTCTGGATGGTGAATGGATACTGCCTGACCAACTTGATACTGTCTTTTGCCACCCTAGCCTAGGATTTGCTTGGAGATTACGTAATCTCAAGCAAGTTGTAGAGCCAGCCAAATTCCCCTCGGGCTAGCTTGTCTCCCCCGTAGCGGTAATTTAGACCGGCGGGCGATCGGTTCTTGGCTGCCGAAGGGAAAGGGTTAGCGGCGCCCGATACTAGTCTAGCCTGGTATCCAGTCTTACGTGATTGGGGGTGTTCAGGCAGATTGTGCCTTCGGGGGCTCTAATAGCTTCCCCGGCCCAGTGCAACAGGCCGTCCCGTTAGGAGTGTAAGCTAATAAGAGACAGTATGCTTGGGGATTTGGTTTCCCCCAACACGATAATTCGTGGAGGGCTAATCAATCTCTCGTGAAATACACACCGGGAAACCTATGTGAGGCGGGCGGGACAGAGCTCTTGTGGCCCCGACCACGATCAGACTGGATACCAGGCTAATACTAGCCTGGCATCCAGGAGGCTTGCCTCAATTTCTAACACCCGTCGTGTCATCGATTTTGTGGGAAGTTGATATGTCTGCGGCCTGAGTATCTCTTCAGTCATCTGTACATATTGTACACACGGTTTTGTGCCTCAATGCACTGTGACAATAGGAGCAACCTTACCCTGTCAGTTAGAAACATGATTCATGTACCACGTGTGTACAATATGGCCACAAACCAGACAACACAACACTTAACTGATGATGTAGTGATATGATGGCAATATGATCTATTTCTAAAATCTGCGGCCTGAGTATTTCTACAGTCATGTGTACATATTGTACACACCGTTTTGTGCCTCAATACACTGTGACAATAGCAGCAACGTTAGCCTGTCAGTTAGAAACATGAGTTATGAACCACGTGTATACAATATGGCCACAAACCAGACAACACAACACTTGACTGATGATATGGTGATATGATAGCAATATCTATTTCTAAAATCTGCGGCGTGAGCATCTCTCCAGTCATTTGTGATTTGTACATATCGTACACACGGTTTTGTGCCTCAATACACTGTGACAATAGGAGCAACGTTAGCCTGTCAGTTAGAAACATGAGTTATGTACCACGTGTATACAATATGGCCAGAAACCATATGACAGCAATATCTATTTCTAAAATCTGCGGCGTTAGCATCTCTCCAGTCATGTGTACATATTGTACACACGGTTTTGTGCCTCAATACACTGTGACAATAGCAGCAACCTTACCCTGTCAGTTAGAAATATGATTCATGTACCACGTGTATACAATATGGCCAGAAACCATGACAGCAATATCTATTTCTAAAATCTACTGCGTTAGCATCTCTCCAGTCATGTGTACATATTGTACACACGGTTTTGTGCCTCAATGCACTGTAACAATAGGAGCAACGTTAGCCTGTCAGTTAGAAACATGAGTTATGTACCACGTGCATACAATATGGCCACAGACCAGACAACACAACACTTAACTGATGGTGTGGTGATATAATAGCAATATTTACTTCTAAAATCTGCGTGCTTAGTATCTCTCCAGTCATCTGTACATATCGTACACACGGTTTTGTGCCTCAATGCACCGTGACAATAGAAGCAACCTTACCCTGTCAGTTAGAAACATGATTCATGTACCACGTGTATACAATATGGCCAGAAACCAGACAACACAACACTTAACTGATGATATGGTGATATGATAGCTATATCTATGTCTAAAGTATTGTTACAACATTTGGCGAGTCATCTCGAATTGTACTCTCTAAGCAGAGGTTGTGGGGAAATGATCGTTAGCTTTTTATACATGTGGCCCTTTTTTGTCGGTACCCCCACCCGTCGGTGGCCGGCGACCTTCTCTGGCGAATGGATACTGTCTTGCCACCGAAAGGGATCTGCTTGGAGATTACTCGAATTGGCCTTTTAATTTTTTGACGATTTCTTTCTCACGACTAGCTTCTCACGGCTTGTAAAGTCATTAACAAGATGTTCTAAAATGGGCACGTAGTTTACGCTGTTGCTGGCAATGGAGGAAGTTGAAAGAGGTTGATAAAATATACGAAGCTTGACCTTCCGTGTAGGTAGAAGGCTGACTGGTCACGACTCGTTGTTGAACATATGTTAGCTATCTGCCGTGCCGTCACAGTTGCTTGCATGTGGCGGCATATACATGTATAGGTGAAACACACACACGCAACGTGAACAATCATGCTAATCTCTCCGTAATGCATTCCTCTCACGTACTTTACACAACCAGTGCCGGTGCTTGTTTTGAAAACGCGCCACCAGCCATGCGAATACTAATATCACCTCGTCAGTAGACATGTTTACAAGGCACCTTCGTATAAACATCTCTAAGCAGTCTTTTAACAACTTGTTTTCTTCAGATACAGCTACCTTGTCTGTATTACAACGTACGAGGGGTGCATATGGTATGTACATTTTTGTACTGTATGTTTCGTCATTGGGCGAATATCCCTTTCCGTTGTGAAGAAGATTTTCTCGGAAAGAGCTATCCCGTGATCGTTACACAAGATTAGTCGTCTACTTTTCCCATGACAAAGTCGTGTGAGGGGTCATTGTCAATGTTACCCTGGATGCCAAACTAGTATCGGGCCGTTAGCCTTTTTCCTTCGGCAGCCGAGAGCCCTTTGCCCGCCTGCCTAAATTACCGCTACGGGGGAGTTGAGCCCGGGGGGAGTTGGCTGGCCTCGTTGGTCCGGCCAGCCAACCTCCCCCCGGGCTAGACTCCCCCGTAGCGGTAATTTACACCAGCGGGCGAAGGGCTTTTGCGGCCCGGACAGCGAGTTTGGATTCCAGGGTATGTCAATGTGAGCGGTGCGCTATTTGTCTTCGTTGATTCGGAGTGCAGGTGCATATGTTCATTCTTCAGTGAAGGTACCATATTGTTTCGGCTTTGCTAGCAACTATCTGAGTAGCCTCCACCAGGGCTTTCTACGCGAATACGGATCGTAGAATTCGACAAAAAAAGAGAGTAAAATTGGCCAAGGGAGTCCGGCCACGGGGAGGTAGTTTCTTTCCCAGTCAAACCTACAAGGCGGCCAAACTCCCCTGGCAAAAATTCTCCTATATATAGCCAGCGTAGTTAGTCTGGTAGACTACTATCTGAGAGAGTTTGGACTGGATTTGAATCGGTGATGACAAATACCGGGCTAACGTTACTGATGTGGGGAGTTACGCTACGTTTATGTAATATTTTAATGTATGTGCACGCCTAGGCTTAAGCTAGAGCGAACTAAGGATATCTTTACCAAACACTGGTAGTTAAATAATCAAGGTGATTATTATGAAAGGTAGGTCTAACGTAATACTATGTCATTGATGCAAATGTTACCTATACTTTCTGTATATACTATATAGTACATAAAGTGTAGGAAACATATGAGGAAATGTATGTTGAGTATAGGTCCTATATGTGGATGATTGATTGATTGATTGATTGATTGATTGGTCTCATGTATATATGTATATATTTAAAGTATCTGTCAAAATGTCCTTAACTGAACTGCTACAATTGCCCCTTAACTGAGGTTAAGGATTGATCTGTGTTTCGGGTTAATCTACTCAATTATCGACCAATGGCTGTCAGTCACGGAGGAATGGCGTGAAATCAACACAAACTACAGAGTCCGGTTTAAACAGGACCTGACGTGCCCAGGTGCGTTTCGCGCTCGAAGCGCAGACAGGATATGACGTCACGGCGCGTACGCTTGTGTTGTGTCTAACTTTTAATCAGCTGTCTTCATTTCGTCCACAGCACACAAAGGGGGCGATGACGCGCCTGATTCCTACCTTCTCACGGTCCAAATAAGAAGAGGGCCTTTCCAGTAACTTCTGCGTCTAGGTAGGTACGTTAGACTATCTTATAATTAGCAATTGACTACGGAGGTGGGAGGGGGGTATTGCCATTCATAACTTTTTTCACTTCCCATAATGCCTAGTGCTGGGTACGGCGCCATGACAGTTCTCAGTGCATCATGGGTAAGTCACTTTCGAAGCAACCACAAGCTAACGCTAAAATTCAACTGGATATTCATTTTGGAGGCTTGTAAACAACTTGCCTACACATGTGACCAAGACTAATAACTTGAATTTTAGCGTTAGATTGTGGTTGCTTCGAAAGTGACTTACCCATGATGCACTGAGAACTGTCATGGCGCCGTACCCAACTCTAGGCATTATGGGAAGTGTGAAATTCACGAATTCATGACTTTCATACTTCCCATAATGCCTAGTAAAGATCACGGATATGGCGTAAGAAGCGGATACTAGTATACGTAATGCAACCGTGCGAGTAGGAGAGTCTTCGGTAGAAAGTAGAACGATAGATGGTACGTCATTTTTTCTAATTCCAACAAAAATGCAATTATGGCATGCGCTTTATACTAGATAAATAATTCAAAACAATATAGTTGACCAGTTTGTCGATAGAACTTGTTGGAAATATTACATCGAGAAAGGTGGTCATACGTCATATCCGTGGTCTTTATTAGGCATTATGGGAAGTGTGATCTATTGGCTATCTAGCAATGATTTTACTATCAAAGGATTTTGTTACTACTAATACATTCCTTGAGTTTTATGAAATGACATGTGGTGGACTGGAATATGTGCTAGCTATCACTTGTTGTTTATATTGTATATATCTATGAAAGAATAGCCCTGGCATACCGGCTTGCGACCCATCCTTCTCGATGCGTTTATCCCTGGACAGCTGTGAGCCAATCAGATACCCCCTCCTGTTATAAGAGGGAACATTATCAGCCAATCACGTTGTCTCTTTACTGTAGGCGTCGATGTGATTGGCTGATAAAGCTTGGCCAGTGCTAACGCACCGAGAAGAACGGAATACTTGATACACCTTCCTCTCATGAGATCAGAATTAGTAAATGAAAAACATGTTTAGTGCTGTTACCTGAAAGAATTGTTTGTTACCCTTTAGGGAATGAAATTTGCCCAGATCGGATTTATCAAAGGCAACCTTCTTCGACACCGTCCTTTATGGGATCCAGACACCAACAATGGCGATGTTCAAGAAAAGAATATCTGAAGAGTCATCAGCTTCAGAGTCACAGTGGTCCAGCGAGCAGATCCAAGCATCAGCCTCCGTCACCAAACTTGGTGAGTTCGGTGGCAAGACGCAAGGAAGCTTTGACGACGACGTAGTGACTACTTCTATCCATTGGGTGTCCTTCGAAGATCTGCCAGACAAGGATGACAAAGATGCAACCGTTGGAGACACACAACTCAAGTGGCCCTCCTGGAAGAAAGGAGCGGCCAAGTTTTCTAAGGCACTTTCGTCGCCCTCAACGTTGAGAGAAAAGCCAGAACCTGAGCTAACAGGTCGGATTTCTTCAATCTGCAGACCCCTGTCTGCGTACGGAAGTGTGAGGAACATGGACCGCGGCATCGTCACTGCCACGGTCGGCTACCAGACGGACGGTAGCTTTGTAGAGGAAGCTGAACAACATATCAGTAGTACAGATGTCACCTTTCACAACGATAGCATAGACTCTGGACACGAAGGTAACTTTGTAAGATTCTCCTGAAGATTCTAACCAGCTACGCGACGAGTCTCTTTCCAGTAACCCGTTGAACTGCAGCAACAGTTCAGCGGGCGAACATTGCAATACGACAGATGAGGTAGAGGGCGTTGCAGGACAAAAAGAAACATGGCAAGACAGTGATCGTCAGTTCACCGCCAAGAGCGCCAGCCAATGCTGGAGCACAGAAGTTAACGACAGCAAATGCACGGATGAGAGACGTCCGTGTCATATACAACAAGTGCCAGAGAAGATGAAAGTGGTAGGCTTGCCTGACCAGCAAGCTGGTCTTGCTACAGGCGCTGCTGATTGTGAGAAAGAAATTGAAGATGTGATACCCGGGAAAAGGTCTACCGCTTTCAGCAACTCTTCAAATCAGGGGAATGATGCTGGAGAACAACTAAACGCAGAATGCAACGACGTTTTGCATCACGGTGGCAGAAACGATAACGCCAAACCAGGTATAGTTGAGACAGACGTTCCTAGAGTTGACACTGTTCCTGTGGTATCGAAAAGCTCAGTTGCCTCTCCGTCCACCAATTGTGCGTGGAACGAGACAAAAGAAAGCATCACAACAACGGCTTCACGTTTTCCGGATCATAAAACAACAAAGGGTGTGGCAGACCCAAGCTGCAATGAGTCCAAACAAGACCGACAAATCAACAGTTGCCCAAACGAAGGATTGAACAGCTACGAATCTAGAGAAGGTCGGTCAAGAGAGGACAACTATACTCTCTTAGCACAAGAAGTTTCCACAGAAGAAAGACAGAAGGAAGATGAACCTCCTATATCGAGTCTTAAAGACGGAGGTCTTGATCACCAGCCCTCAATATGCGCTGCCGAAAGCTCAGAGGATGAAGGGTATCTAGCTTTGGGACATTTCTCACAAGGAGGAGCCGAGAATGCCGACCTTGAAGAAGGACATTCGAGAGTAACACAGCAAACGTGTTCTACGTCTGATAGGAAAAGTGTTCATCAAGACGCCACACCATCTCTTGAAAAGATGCCAAGTGCCGAACAGCCTATGCACGCAGTGAGAGAAACAGTGGACGAATCGGAGTATTGCCAATGTACACATGACGGGACCAACCACGAGGTTCAAGCCACTCAATCGGACGATTCTTCGTACGTGAGACAACTTGAAGACAATGATAACATCGTGTCAATGCAGTATACTATGGAAAGCCGGAAAAACGACGAAACGTCTGATCGGCGACTGAGCAGCGTTACAGGCGATGCTCTGTGTTCTAGTATGGAAAAGGAAGATGTAAATTTGCAGCACCACACTCAAGAAGGGATCAGATCTCGAAGTCTTAGTGAAGACTTGGACACAGATCGTCAGGAGCAGACGTTTCCGAGCCAAATGGCGTCGTCCTCCTCTCCTTTCGGGTCGCCTCCACGGCTGCTCTCATTCGGCAATCCTCCCAAACAGCCCAACTCTCCACGCAGACGCGGCAGCCCGAGAATCGACCAGATTGCCGACAAGCTTTTGAAGAATGCTGTCGTTCTGGTCGAGAGGCTGCCGAGGTCAATCACCGACAAGGCATCTCAGAAGGTGAAGGAGAAAGACGAAAACCCTCAGGCTGATTCCGTGTCCACCGGAAACTCGATCCGGGCAGAGAGTGCCCCAACTCCAAGAGTCGGTGTCGTTCCTCCGAACATATCAAATGACTTGTCAGTTCCTGGCTGTCTCCAAAGGACTCGGGACCGATTGCACCGCCTAAGAAGAGAAATATGAAGAAGCTACTACCGAAGCCTTCCGAGCAACAACGTTATGCCGACGCGATGTACCCATATGTTCACGCGAACGCTGCCGCCATTCCCTTTTACCCATCATCCACCCATGGGTCCGTTGCTCAGCAGGATAGAGGTCAACAGTCGACCATGCCGCCTCCGCCGCCTAATGGCCTGCAGTACCCAATTGCTCCGCATGGAACTCAGTACCCTCTTGGCTCGTCGCAGCAATATCACGACAACGGAGCACATCAGAGGTTTTACGCTCCTTATCCGGGAGCAAGGCCGAGATATCTTCCTCCTGCGACCGCCACATCAGGCTTCCGGAACGCTGCATACCCGGATACTCTGCAAGCACAAAGCAACCAGTCTCTGCAACAGCCAAACCCATCGCTAGTGGTTCGTATAAGAGAGGTAGGACCTGAAAGTATGCTGGCTACACAAAATAGAGCCTTAGACGGTCAACCAATGACGGCGGACAACGTGGCACCCATTTATCACCATCCGCAAGGTGCAATGGAGGGGTCCACAGCAATGCATCATCAGCGACCAAGATTTTCATACCATGCCAATGGAGGCAGCAGTTTACAAGAATCACGCCAGGGGGCCATGTCGTCACAAGGCTCCCTAGCGACTGACACCAGAAAGCCACCGTCCCTGATTGACGCTGTCATAGAAGAGATGTACGACTGCGACGAAACAGCGATAGCCCAGGAAAGATCTGCCTGGAGGATGGGTACATCTACAAACAGAACAGAACGTCCGGTCATTCCCGAGGTCTTTGTGAGCCCCCCGGCCAGGAGGCTGAAGGAAAATAGAGAAGTCAAATCTGCCATGAATCTTGTGGATAAGATGATAGAGGACGCTTATTTCTCATCCAAGCCCGTGAAAGACGCGGACGTACCGCCGGCGAAGGAGGTCCGACCCTTCGGTCATTCCAGGTACTCGCCTCCGCTGACAGTGTCGATGTCTGACGGTGGCCCACCATCCGTGCATTCGACCCCACCAGCTCACCCGAAAGACTTTATGAGTGCCCTTGTAGCGAGGGTCGTGGATGAAGAGTACGCAAAAGACGACGTGGCTGCTGCTGTCCCGGAAAGACCACACCATGATAGACAGCTGCAGGATAACAGCACCCCATACGGCGATCAACCTAATTTACCAGAACCAATAGCGAAACCGCACGACAACCCAACATCCAATCAGGAGCAAGAGGATCAATGAGTTTACAATGTGCGCTCCGAACCGGCGTATGGCAGCAAGCCGCTAGGTGGAAGCAGCAGACGTTCTGTCCAATACGAACAATGCACAGCTACAAGACGGTCAAGGTCATGAAATAGAAAGCAATACAGAGGTTATTACAAGTGATATCCAAGACACGCCAGCACAACACCTAGAAATAACACCGAGGCCAAGAAACATGGAGTCGGAAATTCCCACTGAAATCCTTACACCGAAAAATTTCGATACAATCAGTGATTCTAGTCTTGAGACTCAAAGACCTGACGCCATTTTATTGGCACGACCCCCGGATGAAAACTCCCCCTCTGAAAATAATGGTCACAGGTGCGCAACAGGCCGGGCTGAGCCAGATTTAAAGTCCTTAATGCCAAGCCTTCAGGACCCAGACGGAAAGGAATGTGCCGAAGCAGGCGGTCCCATCTCCAATAACGCCGCGAACAACGATCTGGCCACGGAAACAACAGCAGAAGAAAAAGAAACCCTGGGAAACAACAACGAGAAAGAAAGTGCGTCGTCATCTGGTGGTGAAAACATTATCAATTTCAGTCCTTCAATAGAAACAATTCGCGACTCTTCCAGTAACGAACAATCGCCAATTGAAAAGGAATCTTCAACATCTAAAGATCTACCCCCTAACTCTACCACACCGGTTGACTCAGAAAGCGCAGACCAATTGTCGGACCTGTGCGTAGTAGAGCTCGGGGAAGCCGCGGATCTGGTAGTGGATGAGGAAACGGCTTCGAACGACCGAGATGACGCAAACGGAGAGGTAGAGCGACCACGGCGGCTGGAAGAAGGTGGGGTCACCGAGGACGTCGCGATCGCTCCTGCCGCTCCTCCACCTAATGAGCTGACGGGAAGGGGAGAGGGCAAAGGTGAACACAACACGCCGTCGGCACTCACAGACGAGAGGGATAAGAGCGGGCCGAAGCGAGCCGGAAGACTCAAGGGGAGGAAAAGAGGTAGGTTCATTACATCTCACTAACCGCAGTCTTTTGGGACGTTCTAGTACCTTCTATATCTCACGCTAGCTAATTTCATATATGAAAATTGTCTGCCTTATCAATAGAATGTTGTGATTTTTACGTGTATTTGTTGTTTTTTCAAGGATGGTTCATGTTTTTTGTTCACCGACGCCGATGGGCATAATGTAAAGACGTAGGATGTATAGCGTACAGAGATTGGTTTATTTCTGAATATCACAATTTCTTCAAATTCGCATTGCATACACTGAAGTGTACATGTGCTACAATTGGTTAAAGATTGATTGAATCAATGACGTTATGTGACGTCCTATGTATAGTTCTACATTCTAAACATCATATACGGATAATGGCAATGGTCATTCATATTATTAATGCTACACGAATACCATTCTAACAGTGATTAAAATCATCCGTAATTAGTATGATAACAGTTGACAAAACATTAATCATATATGGGTAAACACAATGTTATCATATATATTATCTAAATACTCAGTTCAATGTACTCAAAACCCACATATAGTCCTACTGAATATTTTCCTACCATTAAAATATGGAGGCCAACGAACTCACGGCGGAGGTAAAATAAAACATGAAACGTTGCTCTGAATTCTTTTTGAAGAAGACGAACTATAAAGCTATTATATAAAATATTCCTTCCTCCCTTCCTGTTCTCCAAGAATGAGGACAAAACGTAGCAATTTGATTACATGTAACATGACCAAACCTACTACACCACTCGTGCAACTAATTGGTCCCTAGATGTAGTTCTTGTTTTTTGCGGGCTTTCTGATGTTTGATTACATACAGCCGAGCCATAGCATTTATCACAACGGGAGCATCAAAGAGCGGAAATCCCTACAGTATGATTATTTTTTTGTTTCTGTCAGAAATTTTTTCTAGGTTAGTCACGTGTAGACAATTCCGTTGAAATGACTCTTTTGAGGCTGCACTGTACAAAATCTGGGGCACGTCAGAAAACACACGTGTAGAGCTGGGCAATGAAACTAGTAGGACGTCAATATATTGAAAGGCATTTTTTTCTGTCAGACATATTATTAGTTTGATTTGACTCACTGAAACATGTGAGTTATTATCAATTTATCTCCATGTTACCTAAACTAGTCACTCATTGATTCACCTCTATGTACTGTTAGCTACCTCTGCCTCACTTGTTTTGACTTGTTATGGTTACGTTATGTTAATGTGTTATGACATATCCCTCTGATCATGTTGTGGTATACACATATATGGGCTGGGCGACTTTATCACAAGACACAATTAGACTCTCAATCATTCATTGGTCGAAGGTAAATTCAATTTCCCGTCACACTAGGAATCACAGTGTGAATCAAAATCACAATATGTCACCAATTATAAGAAAGTGGGTCTTCATTTTGTTTGCTTATTTCATTTCATCGCCACTTAATTTGAACGCTGGGAAATAATTATGACTGCTGTGGGCATAAGATAGTGTCGATTGTATTACAAGATTGTGACAAAGATGATGTCGAATGTATGAGACAACTCATATCACGACACGGTATTTCATTTACCAGAAAAATGCCATTAACTTCAATGAAATGTTTACGGGGTATTTCTCAAACCAAAAGGCATCGTAAAGACCGAGGGGGTCACTGAACACGTACCGGTTTGACAGTCTCCAGTTAAAAGCTTGAATTCGAAATCGAAGTACTAGTATAGTCATAATACATATCCCTTACATTGACTAGCATATGCTTACATACTACTAGTATACCTATCTATTCTAAAATTAGATTACAGTTGCCCGGGCGGCAGTAAAAGTGTTGGAAAAACGATTACAACAAGGACAAATGGAATTAACCCTTTGAATGTGCTTTTTATAGCAAAAGTAACCAACTAACCATGTAAGGTACTGTACTAAAAGTCACTGTCGAAAGGATGGTGTTTTCTTTATGTTTGATATCGTGCACCATATATTCACATATCATAAGAACGCATGAGTGATTCGCAATGTTCATTTGCACAAACCCTGCTTCTATGCACATGCAGCAACTTGCCAATAGTACTTACTCTCTTCTATTCCTTAAACTTACGTAATCTACATTTCAGTGAAAGGGCATTTCTACACGACCCGCACTCCTGTACATTACGAGCTTTCTAGCACACGTATAATTTTCCTGATTGTGATCACAAGCTAGTCACTACATCATTGGCATTTAAAGGGAATACATTTTACCACTATACGATGGCACCTGACTACCAATGTGTCCGTCTGGGGCACTTAAAACCCTCTTATTTCTAATGTGAAATTCATGTTTTGTCTGGCTCTCTCCATAAGTAAAGTACATCCCATTTACAGTTTATTTTTTACTCTTCTTTCCGTTCTCCTCGTACATTACGGGCTGACCTGTGCAATCTAACTTGACCCCTCGTCAGTGCGTTTCTCCCCAAATGCTTTCCGCAGGTGTAAGTGTATGACTTAGTAGGTTGTTATTAAGTATGCCTGTGACGTGTTTGTATTGATCTTCGTGCTGAGTAGCTTTTTACGAGTTGACAAAGGTCTCCTTCACATTTATGCAGAAGTCATCTTTTATGGTTTCATTTTCTTTCTTGTTTTTGACCAAACAGCAATTAAGGAACATATATTAGGACCCATCTGTATGCAATGTGTAGCCGCTATAGCAGAAAAATTATGATTTTTTTTTTATTTTCCGCGTTTTATTAAGGTTTTTTAATGGAATTTTTTTTACACATGTTAGGGTTCTTTATATCCTTTCGGTCTACATTTGGTAAAGAATCCGCATTCGTACTTTACGTACGTCTTTGCTAACTAGCTATCACAGATAAATGTACATGTAGACAAGAAACTTTCATATCTGACTAGCTAGCTTTATATATTGTCCTGATATACAAAGGAATTCCATGTCTTTTCCGGTGTATCTTTGCTCCGTAACGTATATCATCAAAGCAATCTCGTACTCCTAGTGGGATCATACATAACGTCGTCTACACATACACTAATTGGCATGTCGATTCATTAGCGGGCTTTCTATTTTGACAACGCAGGTTGCACCGTTCCAAATGTGGGCAATTATGTACCTCCTACATCCTTTCCTAACGATTCCCTTGAGAATTAACAATGGCACATACAGCTCGTTCAAAATCAGCTTCTACATACATGGCAGGCCGTTGCCCTTCGTTGTTTTGTTAGCAAGAAATAACGTTCGATTCCAGGAAAGCTTACGACAACGATGCAGTGATGCAAAAAAGCCCAAGCAGCCCATATGCGACGTTCTTAGCGGTTTTATTAAAAAATACATATACATTTCGTGCGGGGATTTGTATGATTGCCTTCCCGTGAGTCTTAACCAACACCAGCGGCATTGTAAGAGTCTGATGCCTGCTTGCCCGTAGGCGGCAATTAACATACTTGGAAGACGAAGGCTGTACCATAGAAAGGGTACCTTCATTGGATACCTGATCGGCACAGCGTATGCGTACATCCAGCGTGTTACCTCTGTACTGTACGTACCGACCACTAAAGCTTCAGATGGCCGCGAACGACAACAACTCATTAACCTAGAGGAGCCGTCGGTTCGGGTTCGCTTGCGGCTTTCTAGATCTATCACCCGGCGTGTTTTCATGTGACTGAAGGACCCATTAATATGTTACACTCGACCGTCCATACTGTAAGAGTGCATGTTGATATAATTGCCTGGTCACATGTTGCAAATGATAGGAAGACGGACTGTTGGGTTTACATGGGATGCTTGGGTTTCGCGACGGAGCTGTCCTCTCTTTCTCCTAGGGTTGTTGTTGTAAAATCATGCCGTTTCGCTTCTCTCTTTTTAAGGAGGCGTTGAAGGAAAACATAAGAAGTCTATGACGAGGGTTCGGGATAAAGCGGAGAGCTCGGCCACCAGTGAAGCGAGGATCGCTCACGAGTTTCCGCGCCACAACTGGTTGGTAAGTACGCTGATTTTTTCAATCATGCAGTGATATATATACTGTTCCAACATTCAGCCATGATTTAGGAGGTAATCAACAACGAATATGTCAGTACTGTGATTTAGGAAGAATCGAAGATGAGAAACATTTTGTAACAGAATGTAAACTATACAACTAAGAGAGAGAAGATCTTTATAATCTAATACAATCTATGTTCCCCTTCTTCATACATCTAAGCTGTACAGATAAATTTATATTTCTAATGAGCTTAGACAAACCTTCTATATTGAAACATACCTGTTCTTACCATTTTTAATTACTAAGAAACGAGAAGAAACCGAATTTACTTAATTGTAGCTACTTAACGATGTATATATGTAACGTTATCTATATTGCATCCTTTTGTTGTGACCTGTACTTAACCCAGTGGGTATGTGTGTACAATAAAGGTCTTCATTCCTTCAATGTTATTCTATTTCTCGACACATTTCACAGTAACATAGCTTCACATGCTTAACTGTTTTGTTTGCGATAAATCTAATGATACAATGTATACGATAGATTCAGTGATAGCATAGTTTTATATCCATAACTGTTATGTCTCTTTCCTTATTCACTATCGACACTATGAGTGATGATAGTTTACCTTTATAGTCTTGTGTAATGTAATGACTCCTGCGTTTAGCCTATGTGAGCAAAAACATAAAAAAAGATCATTAGTTATTGGAGTGTGTAACCATTGTGGTTTCATGCTTCAATCGAAGAAAAGAATAGAGTGTACAATTCATATGTACATGTAATGTTTATTGTATTTTGATTAGGACTAGGTATTGGAGTGTGTAACCATTGCGGTTTCATGCTTCAATAGAAGAGAAGAATAGAGTGTACAATTCATATCTACATGCAATGTTTATTGTATTTTGATTAGGACTAGGTATTGGAGTGTGTAACCATTGCGGTCTCATGCTGAAGAATAGAGTGTACAATTCATATGTACATGTAATTCTTATTGTCCTTTGATTACGACTACAAAGAAATCCATTGGAATACCTGCGACTTGGGAGGCAAATTGTACCACCCAGGATGATACCGCACAGCCCAATCTTTGATTGATGTTGAAAACCACTTATGAACAGGGTCATGCGTTTTTTCTTCTTCATCTGAGTGGTGACTAGAGATATGATAACGATGAAGATGAGACATGAAGAAGCCACCTGCACCTGTTAAGCCCATTATTTCGTGCACGTGTGTGAGCTCGCATACTCGCTGCCATGGTTTTGACACCACTCACGATGCTACCCTTGAAGCTATTTTAAAAAAAAGAGACTATATGTATTGGGACCATGGTATTGTTACCTCCGTGAATGGAGGTATTGTTTTGGTGTGCCTAGTTTAGAAATAAAGGACAGACCGAGTTCTGTCAGTGACAGAAAGAGGAGTTCAGAGTTGGACCTTGTGTGTCAGACAGTCCATATAATTATGTCAATGAAAGAGTCTACTAATTCACAGGGAGTTTTTTTGTCTGTTAGGAGAAAGTATGGATGACGTCATCATATTTTACTCGTAAATTACCCGTAGTTATTAGAAAATAACCTAATAGCCTAATTAAAAACTAGTTATTCTCTAATAACTAGGATAATTAGTAGATATGAATTTGTTCAAACGTACGTTTGTAGCTTTGACCATTATGTACATGAAAATCATACTTTTATTGCAGTTATTTGTACCAAAGTGCTATATTATAACTTTAAAGATAATTATATTTGGGGCAATAAAATATGATGACGTCATCCATATGGTCCATAAAATCAGATTTATAACCTTTTGTACCCGGGTATCAATATTCAGTACAACTACAGTTCTTTCTAAATTTCTTTGTGACAAAACGATGCAAAGTTAAAATGCCAAATTAGCCAGTGAGGAAAATAGTGTAAACACTACTACTGAGAACTTGCTGATGGTACAAAGTAACATCTTTCAATGTATTGCTGTAAGCTGTAAGTGGTCTGTAAAGTATGTGTTAATGTTGACATTCACGTGTCTCCATCAGATGAAGCACCTAATGGCAGAGCAGCAGCTGGTCACGAACCGGAAGGACCCTGAGAGTCGCAAGTCGCCGACTGCTTCCGAGAAGGACCAAGCTGATCCCAACGGAGAACAGGTGAGACTTAAACACACAGGCAACGCTAGTACTTATTATTTCCGGTTATTGCTTTGGTGACAGAGATGGGTGGGTTGTGTCTCTGTCCTAAGGCCACAGCATGTAAAGTTTATGGATGACATCCAAATCTAATGAGAGAGGGCGAAAAAAAACAAGGCGGTCCGAAAAAAAAGGTTCCTGCATTTTAAAATTTTGACTCAATCATTGTACAAATGGTTTTGGTTCAGTGGGAACATCACATATACACGGCCAACATCACATATCATTGCATCAACCTAAGAAACAAAACAAGAGCCTTTTCTTGTCTCCTCTCTTCATAGTTATCTGCCATCCACCTTCCGGCCTGGCAGTAGACATTTTTGCCCATGTTCGGCATGGTGACCATTGTCAGAAGGCAACAAAATTTCTTGTTTTTTTTCCAAAATCAGGCGAAAATTAATGCTCGCGTTGATGTCATCCATAAAAATTACTTGCCTTGGCCTAATAGCATCGATTGCATGTTGAATGGGAGGTGATTTCGACAGTTGATTGATAGAGACTCAAGGTGGAAGTAAGTTGGTGGTATTTGGAGGAATTCAGGAAGTAATGTTATTGTAATACCCGATCGAATTACATCATACAATACCCCTAACAGTTCCAATACCAAACCCAAAACGCTGAGGGTGAGAAGAGTATTTCTTGTTACATCACGAGAACCAGTGTTTGCATTTATTTTACCATCCAGAATTATTAAACAACATCACCAAAACCCCTAGTTGGGACCGACACAAATCCACAGAAACAACCCAATTTCCAATGTATCGTAGTGGTGTAACAACAAGCTCACAGTGTTAAGGGGATTTTAGGGTGAAAACATACAAAAATCCTGCGATCTCCACCCCTCCATAACCTTCTAAGATATCATATTTATCTGTGTTTACTACTAGTATACAAAAATCGATGTTTAAGCACACCTTAAAGTATGCGTAAAGGTTCACCAGCCTAAAGGAATGACATCTTTACGCATGTTTCGAGGTATGCTTTTGAGATCGGATGTTGTGCAGTGTTGCCATTCCATAATTTTCCACGACACTCTGATTTTCAAGAGCAGCGATGGAAAACAAAATCCGATCTTTAAGCACACCTTAAAGTATATGTAAAGGTTCACCAGCCTAAAAAAATTACATCTTTACGCATGTTTCGAGGTATGCTTTAAGATCGGATTTTGTGCAGTGTTGCCATTCCATCATTTTCCTAGACACCCTGATTTTCAAGAGCAGCGATGAAAAACAAAATCCGATCTTTAAGCACACCTTAAAGTATATGTAAAGGTTCACCAGCCTAAAGAAATTACATCTTTACGCATGTTTCGAGGTATGCTTTAAGATCGGATGTTGTGCAGTGTTGCAATTCCATCATTTTCCTCGACACCTTGATTTGCGAGAGCAGCGATGGAAAACAGAATCGAAAGGTCTTGTAGGTTAACATCTAGACCAATTTACCCCGTTGGAATCCACTTCTGAATATATTGAACTACAACGCTTTCGCACTCTAACCATGTAGTCTACGTACATGCTTAGGGTGCGAAAACGTTCAGTGCATGAGGAATAGACGAATACGAACATATTTTTCGTGCCTATGGGTCCTTCTGTGAATTTTTCCACACATCTCTGTTTTTTTCTCTGCAGTAACAGGAAGGTGTGAAAATGAGTAATTTATCAGCCTTGTGTGACAAACATTCCAGTTGTCTGTCTAAGCCACCTGCCTCATCCTCCCTGATATTTACTTAAGAGGTCTTCGACTGAATGTCAATTACCCATAATGATGGCATGCAAAGTATGAATCGGGTATCATTATGTGCGTCCAACTACCGACGCATGCATGATGCTGCAAAATATATATTTTTTTATTTCGATCAGTAATATGTAGTTGCCACTTTTACAGTGTAAACAAGAAGAAGAAGAAGAAAAGACGCCTGGTGAAGTTGATGGAACAGTCGTTGTGAAGGACAAGAGAAGAAGTAAACAACAAGGGAAGTTGTCCCGAGATTCGTCCCTAGAAAGCTTCACTTCCCTCGACACCCTGTCGTCAACGGACAAACTTGAAGGCGAGAACGACAACGTCTTTCGCGGTCCGGTCTCTCCAACTACCACCGAGGAAACAGGACAACAGGAGGTTTCCCAGCCAAAAAGTCATTCCCCGAAACTCTCTATCGCTGAAAAATCAACCGAAGATTCTGAGACTGTTGATGACCGTAGAGGTAGCAGTGACAAGGGTCTGTCTACTGAAGAAAGCGCGGCCGTGAATTCATCTGACACCCAGGCAGAAGCCCCGCAAACTTCGGCAAGGCAGTCGCAAGAAGAGCCTCTCAACCTAAGCTTGAAAGCGGCGAGGTTCGTTGATTTTTACAACAGCATCGGGTCCAAGAATATCGCGAAGGCAGCGGCAGAGGGTGGGGAGGTCGAAGCAGGTGCTTCTACCGCCTCCGAGCACGTCAACGACGGGGCAGAATCTCCTGCTGACCGCGGTGTTTGCACTGAACCTCCCGCGGTTCCGTCAGCAACACTAGACGCTGGTTTAAAGAAAGAAGACCTGCCAATTTCCTCTAAGGATGAGTGTGCTTCTACAGAACAGTCATCACCAATCCCTGCTGCCAGTCAATCAGGATCCTACACGCCTATAACAGTCACGGTACATACGGCAGTACCGAAGGCTAACATCACTCCACCACAAGCTTCAGACCCTGCTAAATCATCACCAGAGACCCAGCCACCACAAGTTCCAGCTATGGGGAACGTACAGGACAGACCAATGTCAAGGAATAATACTTCGATGTTCTCGTTTGAAGACGTCCCGAAGGATCAAAGAGCTCCCCGACAAGGTAACCCTCCCTACTGTTATTCTACGTCCCTTAGGTTGTGTATTCCAGCGTGTGGTCTAAACCTCCACAGAAGCCACGGCCACGTACTGTTTATATAATTACACCCTACAGAGAACAAACGCAAGCTCACATGGCGATATATTATCATCGTGGGTACATGGCATACCATGCCAGTGTATAGAAAATATAACCTTACCAGTTATTCAAATCATACAATACTTATTGAAACGTCTGTAAAGAATTGTTTGCTATCTGAAAATGTCATAACAATAATAACCTAAAGAAACCTGCTTGGATCCAGCCAGCAACTTTTTTTCATACACATTTACTTCATTCTTACCAACCCAGTAATTACCAGTCGGGATTCAAAATATAATTGCCGAATCCCCTCACGTACTGTAATTTTGTGCACATGCCTTGATGTAAAAGGGCATAGCTTCTAGAAAATAACGAGGTAGGGTCGTGGAACGTGTAATTTCAAAATTGCCTGAATATGTACGATAAAAAACGCTTTGAAGGGTCCTACAGACGAGTGGAGGTACGTGGTGACTTTGGTATGAGGATAAAAACACGGGCTGTTTTCTTTCTATTTCTTGTCTAGAGGTCTAGGTTATACATTCTAATTCTTAGCAGTATGACTCAGACACGATGACTATATCAAACAAACACGCATATGTAAGCCGAGAAAATATATAACAGTCTTCAGTTGGGAAATAAGTACACCGTACAGTGAACCTTAGGCGACTGAACCGGTAAGAACGGGGCATAGTATTTTGGAATTTGGCCATCCCGGTATATCATGTACGTATAGCAGCTACTGTTTAGTGGAGTGATTCTTAATCTAAAGAGCTCTTGGCTAGCCAGACTTTTCGTCAAGGGCACAGTGGTAACCGCGTTCGTCTCACCGCCATAACATCGATGCACGTTGTTGTTGTTTGCAATTATGTCGGTCGTTGTTGTAGAACAAACATGTATTTGCCCACATTGAACGCCCATTGCCAACGACAACAATGTATGATCTTGTTGAAGAGGTTCATCAGTCACGTAGAATTAACAGTTAGTAGATAATTCCTCAATCAGTGACTGTTTTTGTAAGGTAAAATCACGTACCTCCAAATTATCGGTGTCGACTGTACACCTTGATGTGATTTTACCTTACAAAAACAGTCACTGATTGAGGCATTATCTACTAACTGTTAATTCTACGTGACTGATGAACCTCTTTAACGAGATCATACATTGTTTTCGTTGGCCAGTTTGTCCGGAGACAGTAGGTTAACAGCACGTGGGTAGGGGAAGCAAGATTGACAGAATGACAGGAGGTCAAAATGTTAGACACAGTTAATGGGATGAGCTTGAAGGTCACGAAAACCCAAAATACTTCCCGAAATCTCTGATTTCCTGTGCTCCCCTTTCCATTGCATGAAAAACTATGTAAATTTGTTCATGCATGTTTCAAAAAGAGAGAAGAGATCCTGTAGATAGATCCTGTATATAGAGACGTAGCACATAAAGTCAAGATATCTAATGTGAATATGCAAGAAAGTTAATTGTCATTGTCGTTGCTAATGTCTACCTATGGTTTGTTTCCTAACTGACAGACGGTCACCATCAAGGAGCCGCGCCGAAGCGCCCCGCCTCGCCGACCGTCCGCTGCCCACCGCGGAAGAGATCCACTGTAGACAGCGGCGTGGTCTGCCTGAGCCCCTATTCTCCTGTCTCACCATCAGACAAAACGACCTCTCCAGCTGCCGCAGCCACGAAGCTTTACGAGGAGACCGTACCCAAAAGGCGGGGCAAGACAGCCTCCCTGCCCGAGACAGCAACAGCGTCAGCACCGTACCAGTTCGCAGTGCCTTCACAGCAAGCCGTTTTGCCATCCAAGAAATCGCAGGCTCTGAGGAGCTCCTCCTCGGGAGGACAAGAACGTCCCTCGGTGATCTCCGTGGTGCCCGTCACGCCGCCTCTTCCGCCGCGGCCCTCCGCGCCACCGCCGCCGCCTCACGACACACCGTACCGCGGCGACCACAGCGTCACCGCCGCCCTACTGGCCCGACTGGAAGTCATGACCAAAAACAAAGTCAACATCGAGAGAGAACTCGTCAACCAAGAACTGTTGTTGACAGAACTGCGCAAGAGGTCTCTGGAGGACAAGAGCGGTTTGCTCAGGAAGCAGTCCCAAGAGAAGGAAGCTCTGTTGTTTCACATGAGGATGACGTACAATAAACTGTGTGAAGATATAGACTACTTGATGAGGTCGGGCCCTACTAAGTTTGCTGATGGTCAGAAGTCGACCCATTCAACGGCACCGAATTCTACAGCACCAAATTCTATTGGGCCGTCCAGTCAGGTTAGTATTGACAATAACTAATCAGTGAGGTGAGTTATGATAGAATTCTAACATCAATAAACCATTTTATTCTTGATATCTAGCATATTATACAAACTTTTACAAAGTCTAAAATTGTTACATATACAAAATATGAAAATTATAAATGATATGTCTTACATATACACATCTAAACATAGGTGCATCTCATCATTTGGCATCCTGTTCGAAGGTTTATGTGGTTATGTATAATAACCTTATCTGCATCGTATGTGGAAATTGTCTATTACTGTGAATTGCCTAAGGCTAGCGGAAAGGATGTTTTCTTTGTGCCGTATCCCATATTGAAGCATACCTTAAAGCAGGGCTTTAGCCAGCTCGAAATTTTTTACCGTCAACCCCAGGTCAACCCAATTCGCGAAAAAAAAATACCGTCAACGCGAAAAAAAAATTCCGTCAATGATTACTTTTAAAGAATGTCTTTCACGATCCGGTGATCGACATCACGCCCTCCCGCACACTTAATGCATTCGGTGTTCTAAATACCCGTCAAGATTGCAGAATAAAAAAAAAACTACACAATCTGCAATTTTGCAGAATGAAAAACTAACAGTTCTCACAAGGAGACAACACGCAATGAACAATCCGCTACTAGTATGCCCTTTGTTTTGATCCGCTCAAATCCCGCCGCGATTCAAGCCGCGGCCATGCAAATGAACCTACTCATGACGTCACAGCCTCCGATTTCCACCGAGCCGGCCCCGAGCGCTGACCGACAGCGGGCGATGTGGCTCAGATCTCCGACGATTTCCTTATTTAGAGCGTTCGGAAGACTTCGGGTAGCAAACAAAATGGCCGACATGTACATGATTTTACTTGTCAGCTTCGCTTCTCAACCGAAATGAGGAAGTTACAGCTCCTTTGCGGACTTTAGCGGCCATGAAGTTGACTTGGGGAAGCGCTGAGACGTGATTTCGCTACGGCATAGGGTATTTTGCCGCGGAGGGAGTTACGTGGCCGGCAAAAACTCGCGTGTCAGCGATCCTCCAGAAATCTTTATGCTGCCGCTCAAGTCTTCGCGCGAAGGAGGTCTGACGAAGTTTTAGATTAAATAAGGCCACATTGTGTGGATCAATCTCCGTTTTCTTGCGATAGTATGATTATTCAAGTACAGTATATTATTCAAAAACGTTTGATATTTCTTTGTTCGTTGTCACATGTTTATTTATCGTATTGTCATGTACAGTTAGCAGCGTGTGTCTGAGTCAAGCCATTGTTTTATTTTATTCTTATGTGGCCGTTAGCACATGTTGTTTTAACAGACAGCAACATTGAACAATAGAGCCAAGTCAACAGACGTCGGCACGGTCCTTGAAATCAGGTTTCCCGCCGCCGTGCGTTTGGAAAAGACGCCGCGCCGTGGCTCATTCAAATTCGCTAGATTTTTTCCATGTCTTTACCCACGATTTTTGACCGTCAATGTTGACGGTAAGGACTAAAATTTTTACCGTCAGACGGGACAAATTACCGTCAATTGACGGTAAAACGGGCGCTGGCTAAAGCCCTGCCTTAAAGTATGCGTAAAGGTTATGTTTTCTCAGTCTACTGAAACAGAGGGACCTTTTCGTATGCTTTAAGCTTCTGGATTGAACCATTAACTTGACATGGGTGATTTTGCTATATCTAGGCTATCCCCATCCACCGGGCACAGAGCGACAGTGCAATCACTCTTCAGGCCGGCGGGAAGATCGGCGGAGAGACCGGCAATAGATGGCGGGAAACAGCGTCCAACGAACGCCGGAGTTCCGACGGAGAGAACTCGTCAGACGTTCAAATCATCGGGCAGAAGGGACCAACCATGTCGAGCTCGTTGCAAGATTTCCGTCACGTGAACCCACACGTGAATCCACCACCATATTTGGATCCTCGCTACGTCACGGACCCGCGGCAGGCTGCTCTCATGTACGCTAACACCACCGCCGGGCAGCAGTACCCAGCCATAAGTACGGTGGCCCAAAACCACATTAGCCCTAGATCTGTAGCAGCCCCGCGGTTCTCTCCTTACGCACAGGCACAGAGCGACCTGGCCGCCGCCACAGCTGCAGAGAGGCGCAGGCAGGCACACATGGACGTCAAACGTGCCAAACAGATTTTAAACGAACACAAATCTTTCGTTGAGAAATACAGCAGGCCCCCGGGACCTGGAGAATTAGCCGGGAACCCTCATAACATCACAACCGGCAGCGAGGTTCAGCTGAACCCGCCGGTGAACACTGCTATCCCACAGGCATCCGTGCAGGGAGGCGTACCCACTAGTACTGTCCACCCCTACCCTCATGGTGGTGTTCCTATCCACCCGGCTGTCACCATGGCACAGGTTATACCCATCCTCCCAGGCGATCCGTCCTTCGCTCCTCGGAGTACAGCAATGGCGGCTCACATGGTCGCCCCAGACCAGCGCCCGCTGCCCGCCATGACACACCAAGGGATGCCGCCATTTTACTACATCAGCCCGGGTATGCCCGTCCCTGCAGGGTACCAACAGCAACCCATCCCGGGACAGAGCCCTAGGGTGCTCAACCCCGTCACACAACAGCTCTTGTCCCCACCCCCTGGACAACAAACTCCTACCTCAACAACACCCAGTCAACTCAACAACTTGCGTGGAGTACACCACCGTCCGCCTAACGCCACCTCCATCGTCAACAGCAAAGAACCTCCTCCCGCTGCCCAGCACCATCCGGTGTTGCTGCCTGGTAAACCGTCCCCCGGGCAGATGTGTCATCACCAGCAGCTGCAGCAGTACGGCTGGCCCGGTCAGCTCCCTACAAACTCTGCCGAGATGAACGCGGCGTACTTTGCAGCCCACGCCGCACAGCATGCTGCCGTCCAGAGCAGGGCTGAGGCCGCCATGAAGCGTGGTGGTTCGTCGGTGAAGGACCACCTCCAAAGACCCAACGTCGTCGCCTTACCGGAGATGCAGCAGGCTGCCTACTTATCCAAGCACTTCAAACCCTTCTCAGTCACAGGTCCTCCAGAAAACAGCATCATGCATCCCTCAAAAACACACCCAGTGCACCTACAACAAGCACGGACCCAACCCAAGGACCTCATCACAAGGGTGGGGCAGCAGACAGCGCGAGAAGCTGCGTATCTACAAGATATCCAGGGCTACCTCGCCAACCACCAACCAGCTTCAGTCTTCCGAGGGAATCCGATGATGAGGGGACCAGGCGTTGTGGAGAACGGACAGGGCAGTCCGGGGACAATGGTCGGTCCTCCCAGAAGGGACACCGGCGGTGGGGTCGTCAGCATAGCGGATGACGAGTACCACAGCTGCGTGGTCTGCAACAAAGAAGCCACGTTCCTCTGCTCGGGGTGCAGGAAGGCCTGGTACTGTAGCCCTACTTGTCAGGTAAGTAGATTTCCTACTTCCTGGGTACGGAAGTATTGTTTTGGGTGGCTTTGTCAGTTGGTTTGTGTGTGTGTGTGTGTGCTTCCCCAGTTGTAGTGAGATCGGGTGGATGTTTTGTTGATTGCCTGACAGTAAAGTGGGTGGTACATGGAGGTATTCAGGAAGTGGTTGACTGTGTGAAATATCCGAATAAATCACGTCATACAATCCCTTCCACATGTAGTTCCGATACTTCACTGAAACCCCAAAACACTTCCCGGAGGTCTAACATCTCTGACTTCTTGCTTTCTGTTTTGCTGAGTCAATCTGGCTGCAAGTCTTGATTGTATAAGGTTGAATTATCACCTGTATATCCATAAGTATAGGAAGTGTACTGCTGGTGCTATCGCGAACGACTTCATTCTTGGCTACTGTTTCCCATTTTGTTTACCCGTAAAGAATAATGAGGAAAACTGGGGAAAAGTGCATCATCCTTGGTAATTGGGTTCAATTCTTAACTGGACTTTTTCATATCGACCAGGAGGTACATAGTGTATTTTCTTGTCATTGTTGATTCATTTCCGAGATCCATGCATTTCAGAATGAAAAAAACATGCCCGCCTTATTCTCCATTTGGACAGTTTATAAAGTCTACCCCGACAAAGACGACGCGTAATTATCTATAGGATACAGCATAATTCTTAGTACGTTAACGAAGCCAGCCTTATGCAATATATGTCTTTCATCGGTTTCATGTATACGAGCAATTATAACAAATTGGCCCGACCATAATGTCGACTAACAAGCATGCACATGTAATGTAGGGATACAAATGAGACCATTATGTAACCTAGTGGCTAATGAAACAATGTCATGGTCACAACCTGATCCCGCATAAGGTTCCCGCAGTCAATACTTCGCTAATTGCACTTTGGAAACCAGCCGTATTAACAATTTTTCGGCTTCCAGTGCAATGGCACATCGCAGTTAGTGTACCATAAATGGCAACACATTTTCCCGACCAGCCTCGTAACCCCTGCTTCTCCTATTGGGTCAGTTAGTCCTCACTACTTGTCAGAAATTGGGCGCTGGTCTCAATCATGATGTTTCTGACTCAGGGAGAAGAGTTGCTGTTACAGTTCTACTCGGTAACCCGTAACCCAGGTGAGTGGTCATACCATTCAGGTGGTAGCACCATTCACCTTGAAGTGGCCTAACGGCCGTGTTACGTGGCAACCACTAAGTTAACACACACAAAAAACACATGCAGATTTAAATTTAAATTTTCTATGATAATTGCGGATGATAACCTTTTGTCTTGCCATGGGCCTTCACCTTTGACATATTACCCACAATGCATCACACTGCACATGCGCACTTCACCGTGAAGTAGCCTATAGTTGCTTTTCTTGAGCAGTCAAAGTTTAAGGACCCTCCATGCCTTCTTTTTTTATTCTTTCACATAAAAAGATACAGAAAATTGAACCATCCAGCTAATAATACAAAATGTACAATACTAACGAAAAATCATGCAGAACATAGAAATAATCAATTATTTCTATCTGTAGAGACATTTGATTATAATCATAATGATATCAACACGTGCACATTTTAAACATAGAAATAATAATAAACAAATTAATGATATGATATGAATCTTGATTGCATGTTCTTGCCCAGATGGGCTAAATGCACAAGAGGATATCCAGTATGTAAAACATTAGTATTTTATACTGGTACACTATATTCTAATGCAAAGTGCTAGGAATCTATACATTACAATAATACTATAAACTACCTATCATCTACTGTTAGTTGTCCTTTCTTCTCTCTTTTTGAAACATTTGGAAACATAATATTAATATTAACGTATCTGCCCTCCATGCCTTCTTTATGTATTAGCATGGGCCTTCAACTTTGACATATTACCCAAAATGCATCACACCGTACATGCGCACTTCAAATCGTGAAGTAGTTTATATTTGCCTTTCTTGAGCAGACTGAAGTTATATTGACAATAACCTCACCACATCCAAACATATTTTTGTGAGGCATTGTTAAGCTAACCGGTGGTGAAAGTGACAAGTAAAAGATGGTGTTTTTTTATTCTTGTTTTCGTCACTGCATCCAATCCGATCTAACATTAAGGCATCGACAGCAGGCATCTAAAATTACATTCCCAAAGGCATTTCCCCACGGTAACATGTGTTTCGCGAAACTTAATTACATCTTCTCATGACGGCGAGTTAGTATCACAGAAAATGAAAAAAGGATCAAAGCAAAAAAATCAATTGATCTTTGATATGCCCTAACGGCACAACCACAACTGTAAGTCCTTCGATGACAGCTCTAATTTCGTTGAAAACTGAAATAAAACAGGATCAAAGAAAAAAAATGAATTGAATTTTGATATACCCCACCGGCACTTTTCCACAACCACAATAATAAATCCTACCCGAAATTTAATTACAGTTTTAAATGCATTGGGTCCTCATGAAAGCGACTTCGTCTCTCAGAAATTGAATTAGAAACGGATCAAAGTAAAAAAAAAAATTCAACTAAGTTTTCATAAGCCCTAACCGCACTTTTGCCATAAACACAGTAATAAGTCAGTAATAAGTAATAAGAAATTTGATTTCAGCTTTAAATGCATTGACTTCATGCATGAAAATAAGTTCCTCACTCAGAAAATGAAAAAGGGTCAAGGAAAAAAACCCAACCAACCAGCCAACCAACCAACTTTTACCACAACCACAATAATACGTCCTTCGCAAAATTTAATTACAACTTTAAATGACTTTCCATGAAAGCAAGTTGGTCTCACAGAAAATAGAAAATAAAAAGATCTAAGCAAAAAAAAAAACAACTAATATTTTTCAAATACCCCAGCATTACAATTTTTATGAATCTTAGTTTACAACTTTTCTTTCTTTTGATGAAGATTGCTGGATAGCGGTCAAAACGTCTGTAACTCTATTTATTCCAATGTATTAATTAAAATACGCTCGTACATGTAAGTATTCCATTCACTTTGACTGTTTGGGTACGGACAGAATATATAAAAATGATTCTAATTATAGACTAATAACCCGCCGCCTCCAAATTCATTCCAATGTATTGATTAGAATAAGATATAAGAGTATTCCTTTCTTTGTATTCCATTCACTTTTTTTTTGGATACGGACAGAATATATAAAAATGATTTTAATAACCCGCCGCGGCAGCACGGCGCCTCCAAATTTACCCCCCTACCTCCCCCGCAATAACCCCCCATTAGGTGCCACCGTATGTTATTCCAAATTTGGCAGCTTTCCAGGTCCACAGGCACCGTTCCGGTCTATGGAAAAGCTCGTAATTTAACGATACGAAGCTAACAACATGTGACATGAACACGTGCACAAGAAATCAATGGGCGCCTAGTGCCAACCAATCATTATATTTCTAATAATAGCTCGTTGTCTCACGGTTCGACTGCCCTCAGATGATATCATTGGGTGCAATAAAAGCATGAACAGAATTTACACTGGCGGTTTTCCAAAGTAAGGCCACAGAAAGTAATTTTAATGGATGACATCAGCGCGCGCATTAATTTTCGCCTGATTTTGGAGAAAAACAAGAAATTTTGGTGCCTTCTAACAGTGGTTAACATGCCGAACATGGGCAAAGATGTTTGCTGCCATGCCCGAAGGTGGATGACAGATAACTATGAAGAGAGGAGACAAGAAAAAGCTCTGATTTAATGTTTTCTTTCTTACTTTGATGCAGTGATATGTCATGCTGGCTGTGTATATGTGATGTTCCCACTGAATCAAAACAATGTGTACAATGATTGAGTCAAAAATTTAAACTGTAGGAACCCCGCTCGCATTAGATTTGGAGTCTGCGGAGGATGTCATCCATAAAATTTACATGCTGTGGCCTAGCTATAATACATGTACATGCAAGTAAACGGTTGACATTTTGAATCCATAGCTTTTTTTTCGTTTTGTTTTGGCTGTCTGAATTGATTATGAAATTATTTAAGTGCCACTGGTAACAAATTTCCTCTGTGACGCACACAAAAAATAATAAAACCGACCCTCTGCCAAAAATTACATAAATAAACCATATCAATGAATATAGAGCGATATGATGACCTAGAAGTCATCAACGAAATGGTGGCGGTTCGTGGAATACAAATTTCGGAGTAGAAAAACGGTGAATGCGGAAAAGCGTAGCAGGAATTGTAGACAGCGAGCTTGTTCTCGTACAATACAAACATTTGAGTCTACGAGAACAGTTGATGAAAAGTTTATTATTGCAAATTTGTGCCAGGAGGCTGATTGCAAATTACAAAACATAAAAAGAACAATGAAACAGAGTATAAAATAAGTCTACATTATGAAGGTAGCTGTCTAGAACTATAACTATGTGTAAAACTATGTCTGAAGGGTTTGACTTCTCTTCTATTAGACCCCTTAAGCCCCTGTCACACATGGCTTACCATGGCCTACCGACCTTCTCCAGACAATTGTTGGGTGATAGTCGTGAGTCATCTGTGAGTTGGTCGGTGAGATTGCATACTACTCTTCAAAAGTCGTAGATATGCGCCAACCGGCTATAAATTTTGCAAAAATAAGTCGAAAAAAAATTATTCTTGCGATCAGAAGAGCGAATTGCTAGAATAGGGTACTCTCCAAGCAGAGGTTGATGGTGGAAGATCGTTTGCTTTTTATATATGACCTTTTTTTGTCGCTACCACCACCAAAACGGGCCATATAAAAAAAGCAAACGATCTTCCACCATCAACCTCTGCTTGGAGAGTAAGAATAGGTTGGATTCTTGGCTACTCCCAACCCGGTGCCGACCTTGGTTGGGGAGTGGTCGGGAGGAAAGTCGTGAGATGGTCTTGAATGTGTGAGTGACAGAGGCCTAACTATTTCCGATGATAACGTCCTTGCTATTTCTAATCCTGTCTTACTACTGTCCAGACACCTGGCGGCCTTTTTATATCCACTTATCTTGTCTCTAGCTTAAAACAACGTGCTCCGCATTCACGTTTGAAGAAGCGGTATAAGAACATCTATTCAATGTTTCAGAAGAGACGTTTAAAGCTCTTCTATACATGCTAGCTGAATTCCATTCTCCCCACTACCGTTTATTGATTTGTTGCTAGCCATTGTTGATCGATATCTAAATCGTTCGGAAAAGAAAGATGGGAGGCAAAATGGAAACAAGAAATCGAAGATTTTGAACCTCCGGGAAGTGTTTCCAGGAAGCGAAAGGGAGAGTTTTTGTGCGCGAATTTTTTGGCACGGCCAAAGAGATGGTCTGGCGTACGTCAATGTGCCTAGCAGGAACTTTGCAGGCTTAGAGCTTGTTCTGACATGCCCTAAGTGGATATACCCAGTATAGTTGGACTCACCGAGAGTTAAAGGTATCCAGTGCAGTTTTAGGGCTTGGAAACCCGAATTTTCAAGCCAATATTCTAGTCACTTATCTACACACTGAGTTGAAACCACACTATCCCATATTGACCCTCATGGAGCATAAATACCCAAAATTCTGAAGGAAAATGATTACTGAAAGGGCCCTTGGTTGATTTTTAGGGTACCACCCATAGAATAAAGGACTCATCTTGGGACATCTGTTTTTGCAGTTTTAGGTTGAAATACTGATTGAAATGTGCTAATGTGAAGCAGTATGTGTCAATATCATAAAGATTGCCTTATTCAGAATATTTCCAGATTTTCTGAAATGGATGCATTGGATGCCTTTAATCTTCAGTCTCTGAGGTAAAAATACAAGAATTATTTTAATCGCATGTTCACTAATTAATTTTTATGTCTGATTTATGACGTCACTGCAGGTACAAGCTTGGGAGAAGCACAGCGAGGATTGCCTGTGACGTTGCCGACAAAGGCTCATGGGAATTTCCGCATGGAATGCTGACATGAACACAAGAAATGATGACGTTCCACCGAGAAACGCTGTTTTGATGGGCTGCCATGTGAGATGTTGCTTGGATTAGAGACTTGGTTCTTTTCTTTTAGTCTTAACAATTCTTATCAACTATAAATGCCTGTAGACGTACATGTACATGTATTTCATTTTAGTCAATCCTGTCCCAAAAAAATTGATACCTAGATCTACATTGTTAAATTTTGTATTTTGTTAAGTTAGCAACAATCTCATTATGCCGGACCAGGTAGACTTAATCATTCATTGGCAATGATTTGAATTCTTCGTCAGAAAAAATGTTGGAACCACTGTTATGTTCGTGTATTTGTGGGGGCACTATTCTATATGCTAATTTGAGTGTCACATCGGCACAATACGTTTGTTGAATCGACCTGGAAAAGCCGTAACTTGCCATTGCCATCTGTTTGCCATGGAATTTTGCTCCATCGTTTGCTATTTGATAAGTGTGTTCTGGGTATTAACTACACACGAGACACGTACTCACGGGAAGAGACGATGAAATCTCGCGATAGTTTGAAATCTCGCGATGATTTGAAATCTCGCGATGGTTTGAAATCTCGCGAGAAGTCCGACCTGCTCTGCCATTGTGCTCTGGGAACGAGGTCCAATTTTAGGACTGCTGTCTTTGTGATACTATGATACAACAAATCTTAGCATTATTAACTGATTATTCTTAATGTTAGAAAGATTTTATGGTCGTACTTTGATGTGTGATTATATTATGTAGTCGGGAGTAGTATAAATGTTGCTAAATATTTGAATATTCTCTTGCATAGACGTTAGAATTAGCCAAAGTGTGATCAGTTTCGTTTTGTTACGTGATTTTTGGCAATACCGTCCAAGACGGAAGGCTTGTTTGGTGATATGTGATAGCTGTTGATGAATTTGGTATTTTTTACTGATTGAGACTAGTGGTGGTTAAAGAGATATTCCCTCTCTTGCACACTGGCAAGTGTTTTTGCCAACGCCATACGAAGGGAAGGTATATGAAGTAATGGTTCTATATTAAGCCTGATAGTACAATGAAAGCATGAAGATACAACCGATGCCATATTTTCTTAAGACACTAGCATCTTAAAGAAGTAAATGTCAAGTGTCGTGTCTGTAGACAGACGCTACAAGGTGGTCATCACAAGACTAAAGTGTCTCGGAAAGATGTGCCTTACAAGCATGCGTTGAGTGATCTCAAGAAAAGAAAGCACTGAGAAACCAGAAGAGCATTGCCCTTCTCCAAACATTTCCCGGAAACGTTCAGCCGAAGGACTTTTTCAAGACATCTTGAGGACGAAAATTAAAAATCAACCTTTTAGTGACGATTTTCACTCTGCTTTGGAGTCGCACTTAGCCTTTTCGGGCTGGGTATGAGTAGGGCATGTATTGGCTGCATTAAGAAGTTAGTAATGTTAGAGTAAAGGTTAAGAACATGTGATACAAAAAGTCAAGACAATACAATGCGTAAGGACATGTCTTGACTTTTAATCACAGACAAAAGTGTGGATCTTGCCTCTAATATAATGACGTATTTTGAAAAATAACGATTCTGCCATGTCACCGTTTCTGCCTTTCAGAAAAAAAAGATGTTATTTCGACCCCCTAAAGGCATTTGTACGAGTCTAAAGGGTAGTAGCTTTCTATATTTTTCATTGCCACGGTATTTGATACACAGGCAATAATAATAAAAACTATCATAAATATAACTTATTTGAATGTGTAAAAAAAATTGATATGAGCAGTCAATATTTTGTGTATGGTTAAAAGCTTTGTTATACGATGTTCGCTTGTAAGATGTTTATGTAAGTGAATATTTTATTGGTACGTGAATAAAACGTGCGTATTTGAATTTTTCGTTGCGTTTCGTTGCGTTTGCCTCCCAGAGCTCTGACGTGGTTTCGAGATTAACATAAAGTTATCTCCAAGTAGATGTTTGGCGTTTGAAAATAAAACGCTCTATGACAAAGCCCGTTATTTGAAAGACGTGCACAGGGCGCATAAGCCCTTACATCTGCTTGGAAAATGGATCGGTTAGGCCATGTTAATTTGATTATATGGATGACATCCGCGCGCGCATGAATTTTCGGCCGTTTCCAAAAAAAGTTTTCAACCATGCTGTAAATCGTACAAAAAAGGTTGCAGAATGAGCAAATATATACCGTAAGTTACAAAAAGAATGCCAAAAACGAAAAATGACGAAAATGCAAAGAAATGAATTTGAAGACTAGATTATTCGCCAAACCATACTCTGTGTCATTTGTTCAACCTGAATGACCACGTACTAGTAGATTTCAGAATGAAAGCAACTTTTTTTGCTAAACTTCTTTTATTCGCATGCTCGCATCAGTTTTGGGGTTCCCAGAGGATGTCATCCATATAATCAGATCAACATGGCCGTACGTATATGCCATCTCCAAAATGGTTACTAGTACCTTGCCGTTTGAAAGACCTTATAGGTTTACGTCGATGATATGAAGGATAGAAATCCAGCCAGAACAAAGCATATTCAGTATTCATCCAGCTTCTTATTTATTTTGTATTTACGACGTTGGCTTTGTCTTTGACTCTTTCCTTGAGACGGAGGGAGAGAGAGAGAGAAAGAGAGGGAGAGTGAGAGAGAGAGAGAGAGGGAGAGTGAGAGAGAGAGGAGGGAGG